CCTGATTTGGAAATATATCGTCATTCCTTCCCTGTCACTGGGTCAAAATCCTGGAATTCCCTCCCTAAGGGCATTGTGGGTCTACCTACATGACATGGTCTGCAGCAGTTCAAGAAGGTAGCTCACCACCACCTTCTCAAGGGCAACTAGGGATGGGCAATAAATGCCGGCCAGCCAGGGTCCCATGAGTGAATGAAAAAGAAGTAGCTATAATTGTGTGTGGTCTAACAAAATTGAACAAAATTTTGCTGCTTTTTGATTCTACCCTTCTAGAAATAAATTGCTTGGTTTTTTCCTTCTGCTGTTTTTCCAGCACCACCATTCAGGTTTGATGAGCAGCAACAATGCTGCAGAGCCAGAAATGTTTTCCCTCTGTCACTTTTGAATGACATAAAGCAACCTCTCACATATTAGACAGCAGATCCAGGGTCACTGTGTACTGAGACAGCATCAAACGCAACACACTCTCCATGGCAACCAGCACCAAAATGTACAGTACAACGAATTTGTTTTGTTGTCACTGTTGATGGCAGGTCAAGTTGGCATAAATTAAACTGTTCCTTTTATTTGCTTGTCCTCATTGAGACTGCCAAAATAAAAAAATCAGCAGTGAGCTCAGTGCAGAGAAGGTCCAGCTCGGCTTAGGAGTTCTGCTCTCTGACTTATATCCACTCCCAACACGAAGCTGACAGCCATTGCTCACTCTGGTACATCTTGGGAAGGGCTGCCTAAATTGGAGAAGAAGTATTCCTGAAGGTGCCAACCATTTGAGTGTCTCTGACAAGCCCACATGGAAACAGTGGAAGAACATACTCCACACACCTTCCTTTTTAAATACTACCCACCCCTGAGTATGTGGATCCAGCACTGGACTGTCTCATAGTCTCAGGACCCCCAACACCAGAGTGTTAGCAACATTCCACCTTGGGGGCCTACAACCCAATGGTCTCAATGTAGACTTTACTAGCTTCAAAATCTCCCCACCCCGACCTCATCCCATGACCAACCCTCCCTCTCATTCCCGCCTCCTTGACCTGTCCATCTTCTCTCCCACCTATCCACTCCTCCCACCTCACTGACCAACCCCCAGCATTGCCTACCCGCACTCACCTATCACCACCCCACCTACCTACCCCAGCCCCACCCCTCCTCTCTATTTATTTCAGAGCCCCCTACCTTTCCCCCATTTCTGAAGAAGGGTCCCGACCCGAAACATCAGCTTTCCTGCTCCTCTGATGCTGCCTGGCCTGCTGTGTTCATCCAGCTCCATACTGTGTTATCTCTGACTCCAGCGTCTGCAGTTCTTGCTCTCTCTGTGTTAGCAAGTCATTCTTGATCCTGAGGGCTGCTTCAGAAGAAGACTTTTGTTCATGAATTTGTTCATGAATTTCATGTTGGGACAGCATGGAGTCTCAGTGGTTAGCACTGCTACCTCACAGCGACAGGGATCTGGGTTCGATTCTAGCCTTTAGTCACTGTCTGTGTGGAGTTTGCGCATTCTCCCCATGTCTGTGTGGGTTTCCTCTGGGTGCTCCGGTTTCCTCCCACAGTCCAAAGATATGCAGATTAGGTGGATTGGCCATGCTAAATTGCCCCATAGTGTCCAGGGCAGTGCAGGTTAGGTAGCTCAACCATGGGCTAATGTAGGGGTTAGGGGGCTGGGCATGGGTGGGATGCTGTCGCAAGGGTCAATGCAGACTTGATGAGCCGAATGGCCTCTTTCCGCTCTGCAGGGATTCTATAAACTTTGAACTGCCAGACAAGAATCTAAAGAAACATAAATGCCACAGAAGTATCTCAGTAGATTTCACTAGCATGTTGGAAATTGATCAGCACTCTTGGTCCAGACTGAGAGTGAATGGACAGCAGGGAAAGGGGCAGCTGTAATTTTGAGAATTATTGCAGTACGTGGTCATTACTGAGAAACTACTGTACTCAATTCAGAATCAAAGAGTGACTCAGAGTAAACTGCAACTAAACCAGTCAGCAGCATTTTTGTACACTCCAAGCCATTTCCATTTCTCGAGGCAAAATAGTTCCCACTCATCTCTTGAGCATTTGCAGTTAATACTGATGCTTGTATTAATAAGTGATTTCAAAGAGCAAAGCCTTGATAATCTTGCTTCAAAACTATTCACTGCAAAACAATAACGTTCAGTGATTCTCTTCAACATAGCCAATTCTGTTAAGTCTAGATACCACACGCTGAAGATTACTGCCTGCTGATACTGTGCACTGAAGATTAATGTCCTCAATTATTCAAGACTATTATCCAATGTCACCAAATTATGGGCAACTGAGGAGCTAATATGAGTGAGGCATTTGATGTAATTAACATCAGCAGAGAAAAAGCACTTGAGAAACCAAAGAGTATAGAAACCATCAAACTCCAGGACCTAATGGCAACAGCCTGGGGTCTGAATGAGGATCTGAAGAGATTTTGGATGTAGAGGTTATGATTTTCCAATGTTTCCCAAATACCGAAATGGCCCTAGTAGATTGGAAATCAACAAATGTAATGCTGCTATTTGAGAAAAGTGGGAGAGCGCAAACAAGTCAGTTGGTATGAAAAATGCTGGTAATGCTGGAATCTATCTTAAGGAAGTCTTAACAATGCATTTAGAAAATTATTGTTTATCAGACAAAGTCAATGTGGTTTTACGAACAGAATGCTCGACAAGCTTATGTGATTTTATTGAGGAGGTGGCTTGCAATACGGCGAATCAGTAAATGTAATGTACCTAGATTTCCAAAAAACATATCAAAAAATGCCACATAAAATGTTAATGCACAAGATAAGGACACATAGAATGGGAGTAATATATTAGTGTGGGTGGAGGATTGAGTGATGGGCCAGAAGCGGGGGCAGGGATAAGCAGGACATTTTCAAGCAGTAACTGGTAGAGCTCACAGTGTCAGTGCTGGTTCTCAGCTATTTCCAATTCTATTTTCATTGCTTAGATGAAGAAATGGAATATGTGCTGGTTTTCTGAATTTATACAGCGATGTGACTTTGTAAACTGTGGGGAAGATATAACGCGGCTGCTAAGAGATATAGAAAGGTTACATCAGTGGGCCACAAAGTGGTAGACGATATGACTTTATTCATTTTGGAAGGAAGAATGGAAGAGCAGATTGCTTTTTTTTTAAAAAGAACACTTTAAATGTAGATTATTAAAACATTTGGAGGTACTGAATAAGAAAAATAAGTTAAAATGCTGGTTCAGCAAGAAATTAGAAGACAAATGGTATAGTCTTTATTTCAAGGTTTCTTGCTGTACAAGAATGAGGAAGCCTTGTGACAATTACATAGGGCACTGTTGGAACCTGTGGTACCTTTAGTAATCATGCCTAAGTACTTTTATTGGAAGCAATGCAGAGGAGGTTCACTAGGTTGGTCCCTGAGATGAGAGAGTGAATAAAGTGAGACCATACATCCTGGAGTTTAGGAAAATAAGAGAAGAGCTGAAATGAGATATGAATCATTTAAGAACCTGAAGAAGACGGACAGACTTCCCATTGAGTGTTTGTTTACCCTCGGTGGGGTATCTGAATCACAGAAATGGAATCTCAGTATTGAAAGGATCTACTGTTTAGGACTGAGATGAGGAGAAGTTTCTTCAATTGGGGGGCTGTGAATATTTGGAATTTGTTCTCTCTCGAAGGGTTATGGATGCTCCATCATTAAATATATTGAAGCTTGAGATTTCTAAACTCTTGGAATTAAGAGAGATGGGGAGCAGATGGGAAACTGGTGCTGAGGTTAGAGATCAGCTGTGATCATACTGAATGTCTGAACATGCTGAGGGGCCATACGGTCTACTCGTACCCTGAACATTCTTTTGCTGCCTACTCATGACTGACCAGAAGATGTAGGAACAGAAGTAAGCCATTTTGACTCACATAGTCTGCTCTGCCATTCAATGAGATCATGGCTGATCTGATCATCCTCAACTGTACTTTCCTGCTTTGTTTTCCATAACCCTTGACCCCTTACCGATTAAGAACATCGAACAATATGGCAGAAGAACAGGCCCTTTGGCCCACCGTGTCTGTACTGAGCCTGATTCCATCTGTCTGCACACGGTCCCTCTATTCCCTGCTTGTTCATGTGTCTGTTTAAATGCCTCTTAAACGTTGCTATCGTAACTGTATCTACCACCTCCCAGTGAGGTTGTCTCTCACTCTTCCAAACTTCAAGGAGTACAGACCCAATCTATTCAACCGCTCTTGAAGTGAATATTCATTTTCAAGCCAACACCATTAAAAAACAGATTATCTGGTCATCTATCTCATTGTGGGCTATGAACAATTGGAAGTGACAACTTCATAGTTACCATTTTTGTCCATCAGCATAATTAAAAGACCTATTAGGTATAATCTGAGTTTTTAATATAATTTGGAAAATTATCTCCAATAACAACAAGGGAAGTAAGATTTCAACTGTGGTGTGGTGACAATGTTTGTTGCTTTGAGTCAGGAGCTATCAGCTCAAAATCTCCTGTTCCCTTCCTTACAGAGAGTTGAGCGCCATTGGCTGACACTCCAATGCCATACTGAGGGTGCCCTCAGTGTTGAAGGGGCTGGCTTTGAATTGAGGCATTAAAATGACCCCTAAGGTGGGCTTAAAGAATCCCAGAGCACTATTTAGAAGATGAATCAGGGGCAATACTCATTCCCATGTCAACATCAGATCATCTGCCTATCCATCTCATTGTCATCTGTGGAATCTTACTGTGTACAGACTGGCTGTGATGTTTGCTGCATGGCGACAGTAGCTACTGTTTAAAATGTGCTTCATTGGTTTAATATCCTGACATTTCTATAGTGTTGTATAAACGCAAGTTTTTTGTTTTTTTAAAAGAAATCTCTTTCGCCCCCGGTTTTGGTGCATTATTTGTAAACTGCTGTTGGTTTTCATCAGAAAGAGAGGAATTGAGTCTGCCAGTCATCTCAAAATAAAAGCTGTAACCTACTGAAGGAAGAACAGCCCAAGGTACCTGAAATATTGCTATCCACGCGTAGCCAATGTTATCGAAGTTGATGGCTCCTTTGAATGGGTTGTGATCAGCAGGTTGGCACTGGGTATAGTACTGGTTCCAGTTTATACAGCTGATATTGTCTGTGGTGTTACTCAGTAACAGGTAGTAACTTGTATCGTCTAGGGTACATTCGATGTTGTTCACTCTTCTTTGGGGCACACTGCGACAGTAGCGCATTCCATTATCCTTCAGGAGGGAACATATGAAGGGATTCTCATCATCATTTTCTGTGTGATAATATCGATCCAGCTCTTGAGAGGCAGGTCTTTGAAAACAAAAGGAAAAAGCCAGAGAATTAGAGAGAAACAGGTTTGACATTAGGGTGGGAAAAGTGGCTTCAGAAGGTCAGAGGATATAATAATAAGCTAGCTAGACGGTGAATTGGACCTTTTCTGGTTCTTATCATCTTGAGAGCTTCTTACCTATGACACAATTAGATTTTAAAGATATGAAAGGCCCGTGCTAGTGATTAGATGCTGAGTGTTATTGACAAGAAGCAATGCCATAACAATGATAAAGACTGCCCCTGGAGACACCACTTGGCATTGCATCCGTACTGCATGCTCCTATTTTGTTGAAAATACATCAGTTATTGAGTCTTAAGTTTACAATTCTTTGCTTTCTTCATCTGGTAATGGTATTTTCACACCATAACCTCCCTTGCATATCCACCTGGTTGCCACATGCAAGTTGACCAGCCTAATCCTCCCTGTTAAAGGGGCTCTGAAGGTGACACTTGTGAATAGTCTGGCATGTTTTTGACTTTTTCTTCCTTCTTTTGGCATGTAGCCTCACCTTTGCCCCTTGCTCCACCACAAAGATTGAAGTGGAAAGTGGGAACTCACTACACATATCTGCCTGAAGATTTTAAAAATTATTTGTTCATTGGATGTGGGTATCGCTGGCTAGGCCAGCATTTATATACCATCCCTAATTGCCCAGAGGGCAGTTAAGAGTCAACCACATTGCTGTGGGTCTGGAGTCACGTGTAGGCCAGACCAGGTAAGGATGTCAGTTTCCTTGCCTAAAGGACATTAGTGAACCAGATGGGTTTTCCTTACAATTGACAATGGATTCATGGTCATCATTAGACTCTCAATTCCAGATTTTTATTGGATTCAAACTTTATCACCTGCCATGGTGGGATTTAAACCCAGGTCTCCAGAACTTTATTTAGGTGTCTAAATTAATAGACTAGCAATAAAAAGTCAAGGCCATCACCAATCCATAAATTTATAGTTCTATGGTCACCTCACTGATGAGGCATTAGAATTGATTTATTCATCTGAAATGGTGAGATTTGAACCTATGTTCCCAGGGCATTAGCCTAGTTTCTAATTTACTTATTCTGTGACATTACCACCACGCCTCTATCCCCCCATACACACTTTCAGCTTACTAGTTAATGGCTTCACTGTGCAGTTTGGGAACACATTAGTACAGGGTAAGGCAGGTTTCACTGATCTCTGACCCCGGAAGGAAAACCAAGTACAACTTATGAATGACACGTGCTGGTTTGATTTGTTTTGTATACCTCAGAACTGTGCTCCAGTATGACCACTACACTCATTTCCAGTGTTACACTGAATGGAACCACAGTATGCATTGGAATTTTATTTTACAGCCAGCATTTTTTGCCCTTCAACTGAGTGGCTTGTGGACAATTTCAAGTGCAGTTAAGAGCCAATCACTTTGCTGTGGGTCCGGAGTCACATGTAGGCCAGGTCAGGATGGTCAATTTCCTTCACTAAAGGACATTAATTCACCAGATGGATTTTTACAACTGCTGATAATAGGTATCATAGTCTATTACTGAGACTAGCTTTCAATTCCAGATTTATGAATTTAAATTAAACTCCATCAGCTGCAGTGGTGGGATTTGAAGGCATAGCCCCAGCGCTCTTGGATTACTAGATCAGTGACATTACCACTACACCACTAGTTCCCCACTATGTTATAACTCCTGCTACAATATGAACATACGGGCATGAAGTAAGGTCAGAATCTAAACTGGGAGGTTATCCCTTGGTCATAGACGCCAACATTTACTACAAAGCTCAATCCTGAAGAAAGTCCTTGGATAAATTGCTATGAGGCTATTGGCAAGCACTTACACTTTGATAACAGGAGAGGACGATACTGAGAGAAACAATGTTCATCTAAATAGGAGGAAAAAACTTGCATTTGTGTAGAATCTTTCATGTCTTCAAGGTGCTCCAAAATTCTCAGGAGTCAAATAAGTTTGGGGGTGTAGACACTGTTATAATGTATGGAAGCATGACAGTTAATTTTAGCACAGCAAAATCTAGCAGATGGCAATGGGATAGCTCAGCAGATAATCTGTTTGGGTGATTTTGAGGAATAAATGTTTGTCAGTGCACTAGTTCAACTCCCCTGTTCCTCTCAGTACAGTTACATCTTTTATATTCACCTGAGAGAATAGACAGAACTTTAGTTTCCCTATCTCTAAAACTGCAGCTCTCCCTAGGCAGCAGACTCTCTGTACTAGCCTAGACCATGTCTCTGGTGTGATGTATGAACCTCAGAGTTGAGAGTCCCATCCATTGAGTCACAGCTGATCACATATTAGATCGACAGATCTTTTTTCCCTGTCAGGTAATCCATTGGTCCAGAAGACAGCTCCATAGTAGGAACTCCCTCAGACCATTAAATGGCTGTAGGAAACTAAAAATCAGGTGGCACTTTAGGAGATTTTCGCAGTAACTGATCTCTACGTCAGGAATCTGTTGGATTCGATGTTGTGGGTGGGGCTTGGGGAAAGGAAGATGGTGATCGTCAGCTCCAGCAGACGTCAACAAGTGGGAGGAAGACGCAAGACAAAATGGATGGATAATATCAAACCAAGGACTGGCATCTATGAGCAGCAGAGTAGAGAATTCAGTGTAGAAAGATTCTTCATAGTGCAGTCAATCCTCAGAATATGGATGGGTGGAAAACCACACAAGACATTTCATAAAGGACATTTCTTCAACTTCATTAGGGGATTCCAGGTAAACCCACACCTGTTCTAAATGTACTTCTGAGCTTGCATAGAATTCCATTCAAATTATTTCCTACTTGCCTCATCATCCAAAATCTGCAAAGTGTCTTATCTTGATCCAAGCAGGAAACGTTCACTAATGATTCACCTTTTACAGTGCACATGTGTTTTACAGCAGGGTCTCTCACTGGGGACGAGCCATTGCCAGAGGTGGGAGATCGTAAAGAGCACTTTGCAAAGTGTGAGAGAGAGAAATAGAGAGAGAGACAAAAAAAAACACACACACATTTCCTCAGTGCAAGATCAACCACAAAATTTCAAGGGGGCTCTAGGTCCAAACTTTAGACTGAGCTGAGTCAACTGACCACAGGAGGAGTGCAATCATGGTCTGGAAAATATGCTGCACAGGCTAATGGGTGAGAACAAGGTTAATTACAGTCATCCACAGCCACATTCCCAATCCAGCCTTTCCTAGCAGCCTATCACAGCGTCATAGAGTCATACAGCACGGAAACAGGCCCTTCAGTCCAACTAGTCCATGCTGACCATAATCTCAAACTAAACTAGTCCCACTTGCCTGCTCCTGGCCCATATCCCTCCAAATATTTCTTACTCATGTACCTATCCAAATGTCTTTTAAACGTTGTAACTCTACCCGCATCCATCACTTCCTCTGGAAGTTCATTCCACACATGAACCACTGGCTGCGTAAAAGAAAGTTGCCCCTCGTGTCTTTTTTAAATCCTTTTCCTCTCATCTTAAAAATATGCCCCCTAATGTTGAAATCGCTGACCCTAGGAAAAATACACCTGCCATTCACCTTATCGACATCCCTCATGGTTTTATAAATTTCTATACGGTCACCCCTCAACCTTTCACATTCAAGTGAAAAAGGTCCCAGCCTATCCATCCTCTCCTTATAACTTAACTACAGCTCTGCCTTCAACACCATTCTCCCCTTCAGACTGACCTCAAAACTCTGTGACCTTGGCCTCGGCACTACCCTCTGCAACTGGATCCTCAGCTTTCTGACCCATAGGCAGCAATCAGTGAGGATAGGTAACTGCACCTCCTCCACAATAACACTCAACACAGGAGCCCCCCAAGGATGCATCCCCAGCCCTCGACTGTACTCCCTGTACACCCATGATTGCATGGTGGCTCAGTGGTTAGCACTGCTGCCTCACAGCGCCAGGGACCCGCCCTAGGGTGACTGTCTGTGTGGAGTTTGCACATTCTCCCTGTGTCTGTGTGGGTTTCCTCCAGGTGCTCCGGTTTCCTCCCACAGTCCAAAGGTGTGCAGGCTTGGCGGATTGGCCATGCTAAATTGCCCATAGTGCCCAGGGATCTTCAGGTTAGGTGGGTTTGACATGGGAAATCAGGGGTAGGGGGATGGGTCTGTGTGGGATGCTCCTTGGAGGGGTGGTGTGGACTTGTTGGGCCGAATGGCCTGTTTCCACACTGTAGAGATTCTATGATTCTGTGACTGTGTTGCCAAATTCTGAATGAGTGCCATCTACAGGTTCGCTGATGACACCACCATATGGGATGGATATCTAACAACAACGAGTCTAAATATGGAAGGGAGACAGAGGGCTTGGTGACATGTTACAATGAGAACAACCTGCCTCTCAACGTCGGCAAAACTGAAGAACTGATCATTGACTTCAGAAAGAAAGGAGGAGAACATGTCCCCATCTACATCAACGGAACTGAGGTTGAGAGGGTGGACAGTGTCAAGTTCCTCAGAGTGACAATAACCAACAACTTGTCTTGGACTTCCCACAGGATGTGATGGTCAAGAAGGCACAACAATGCCTCTTCTTCTTCAGGAGACTCAGGAAATTCAGCATGTCTATAAGGTCCCTCACCACCTTCTACAGATGCACCATTGAAAGCAAACTGTCCGGGTGCATAAGAGCCTGGTATGGCAACTGCTCTGCCCAGGGCCGTAGGAAACTACAGAAGGTGGTGGGCACAGCCCAGACCATCACGGAAGCTAATCTTCCATCCATGGACTCTATTTACACGGCTCTCTGCCATGGTAAGGCTGCCAACATTATCCAAGACCCATCACACCCTGGTAATGATCTCCTACAACCTCTTCCATCAGGCAGAAGATACAGAAGCCTGAACACACACACCAGCAGGTTCAGGAACAGCTTCTTTCCAGCTGTTATTAGACTGATGAATGGACCCTCTAGCCTCAAATAAAGTTGATCTCGCTTAGTGCATGCCCTGTGCAATGTAACCTGTGCCTCTGTATAAGTCTTTATGATCTGTACATCCTTGCTTACTATGATCTGCCTGTACCGCTCATAAACAAAGCTTTTCACTGTACTTCGGTACACGTGATAATAAAACAATCCCTCCTTTCCAGGCAACATTTTTTCTGAACCCATATCTGGGTGGATAATCCATAACAAAGGACAAGATACTATCTTTAGGAGAGAAGGAATGAGAATTTGAAGAAGGAATGCAATATAGGTGTAAAATTATTTTATGCTAACAGTGAATAATGGAATGAAAGGTGACCGATGGTCCTATGTACACAGAGTATAACCTATTACTCCATTCTTGGCTTCATAATAACTACCTGCATCTAAGATCAAAGGTCATCGGTCTTATTCTAGACAATGAAGCACAAAATCTTGCTTCGGTGTAGTGCAGTGGGAGTGCTGCACTGTCAGAGGGAAAACACTTCAAATGAGATGTGAAATAGAGGCTCTCGAGTGGATAGAAAAGATCCCGTGGCATGATTTCAAGGAGCACCGGGGTGTGATTCCTGCTGTCCTAGATAATATTTATCCCTTCAAATTCCCCAAAACACTTGATCCCTTCCTTATCATGGCACTGTGTGCAATTTGTCTTTCACATTTCCTACATTACAATGCTGAACTCCCTTCAAAAGCAGGCAGTAAAACGACATGAAAGGTGCTACGAAAATGGAACTTTTTTCTATTGTTTTAGTAGTGTTACTGCCGAGAGATGTAGAAAATCAATTTGGGTTACGTTGAATTGACACTGTGGGATAGGGAGAAACTGAACAACAAATGGATTTCATCTTGTTGGCTATCATTGGGCTGAAACACAGATCTCAGGTAAAAATCCAGCAAACTAACCCTTTCAGCCAAACAGAAAAATAATCACTTCACTTGCAGCCTACCTTCCAACATCGAGTTAATAAAAATGTTCAAACCATTGTGACTTTAGTTGCTTTTTAATTATGTTCAATTGCTAATGAACACACTACGAATTGTAAAAGTTTGAAAAGAAGCCAGGGGCGGTTGAACTTTTCACAGGAATATAAATCGGGAAGCAGGGGGAGCTGGGTTCAATCACATTGAAAATTATGGGAAATGTTAAATGGGAGAAGGGCTCGGCAGAGGTTATTAAAGATTCCAGAACAAGTAATAGGACAGGGAGTGGAAAGGCTTAGGAATCTAACTTCAAGCACGGCAGCTAAGGAGACAACTATGAGAAAGGGGGGCAGTCAACGCAGGACTGAGGTATTGTACTTAAGTGCAGGCAGTATACGAAACAAGGTAAATGAGCTTGAAGCATAGATTGAAATTGGCAGGTATGCTGTTGTGGGTATCACAGAGACATGGCTGCAAGGGGATCAGGGCTGGGAACTAAATATCCAAGGATACACGTCCTATTGAAAGGACAAGCAGATTGGCAGAGGAGACAGGGTTGCCTTGTCAGTAAGAAATGAAATTAAATCGATCGCAAGAAGTGATATAGAGTTGGAAGGTGTAGAATCTGTGTGGGTAGAGTTGAGAAACCACAAAGTGAAAAAGACCCTGATGGGAGTTGTGTACAGACCTCCTGGCAGTAGTCAGGATGTGGGGAAGAAAATAAATCAGGAGATAGAAAAGGCATGTAAGGAAGACACTATTACAATAATCTTAGGGTGCCTCAATATGCAGATGGCAGGGAAATCAGTTAGATACCAGTTCCCAAGAAAAGTAATCCATGGAATGTCCACAAAATGGTTTTTTGGAGCAGCTTGTGGTGGAGCCCATTCAGAAACAGGCAATTCTGGATTTTGTGATGTGTAATGAGGCAGATTTGATTTAGGAAACTTATGCTGAAGTAACTCCTAGGGGACAGTGACCATAATAAGACAGAATTCACCCTGCAGTTTGAGAGGGGGAAGCTTGAATCAGATGTAATGATATTACAATTGAGTAAAGGTTAAGAGAAAGACATGAGGGAGGAGCAGGCCAGAGTTGATTGGAAGGGAAGATGATGGAACAGCAATGACAGGAGTTTCCAGGGGTAATTTGGGAGGCACAGCAGAAACTCATCCCAAGGAAGAAGAAACATACTAAGGGGTGGACAAGGCAGCCTTGGGTGACTAGGGAAGTCAGGGACAGCATAAAAGCGAAAGAAAAGGCACACAATGTAGTAAAGATTCGTGGGAAACCAGAGGATTGGGAAGCTTTTAAACACCAGCAGAAGATAACTGAAAAAGCAATAAGGGAGCAGAAGATGAAATATGAGGGTACGCTGGCTAGTAATATAATGAAAGACTGCAAGAATTCTTTTAGATAAATATATAAAAAGTGAGTGAACATTGGGCCACTGGAAAGTGAGGCCGGGGAAGCAGTGATGGGGAATAAAGAAATGGCAGAGGAACTGAATAGGTACTTTGCATCAGTCTTCATGGTGGATGACATCAGCAATGTACCAGAACTTCAAGAGTGTCAGGGGGCAGAGGTGAGATTAGTGGCTATCACTAAGGAGAAGGTCCTGGGGAAGCTGAAAGGTTTAAGGTGGATAGATCATCCTGATCAGATGGATTCATTGGTGGATGTGGGCACAGTTACGATGTTTAAAAGACATTTGGATAAATACATGAAGGTTTGGAGGAATATGGGCCAGGAGGAGGCAGGTGGGACTAGTTTATTATGGGATTACGGTCAGCATGGACTGGTTGGACCGAAGGGTCTGTTTCTGTGCTGTATGACTCTATGACTATGACTCGACCCCAGAGTTCTGAAAGAGATAGCTGAGGAGATTGTACAGGTTTTGGTGGTGATCATTCAGGAATCACTGGAGTCAGGGAGGGTCCCAGAGAACTGGAAAATGGCTAATGTAACAGCCCTGTTTAGGAAGGGAGGGAGGCAGAAGATGGGAAATTATAGGCTGATTAGCCTGACCTCAGCTGTAGGTAAGGTTTAAGAGTCCATTATTAAGGATTAAACTGCAGAGTGCTTTGAAGTGCATGGTAAAGCATTGCTGAGTTAGCACGGCTTCATCATGGGGAGGTCATGCCTGACAAATCTATAGAACACTTTGAAGAAGTAATAAGCAAGTTAGACAAAGGAGAGCCAGCAGACATGATCTATTTGGATTTCCAGAAGGCCTTTGACAAGGTGCCACACAGGAGGCTGCTAAATAAGGTGTTAAGGGCAAGGACTGGCATAGAATGAGGATTGGCTGACTGGTAGAGGGCAGAAAGTAGGGACAAACGAGTCATTCTCAGGATGGTAGCTGGAGACTAGTGGAGTTTCGCAAGCACACAAGTGAGACTACAACTATTCATGTTATACATTAACGATCTGGATGAAAGAGCCAGGGGCATTGTTGCCAAGTTTGCAATGACACAAAGATAGATGGAGGGCCAGGCAATGTTGAGGAAACAGGGAGGCTGTAGAAGGACTTGGACAGGCTAGGAGAGTGGGCAAAGACAGGGCAGATGGAATATGCTCAGGGAAACTGTAATGTTATGCATTTTGGTAGGAAGATTAGAGGTGTAGACAGGGAAAGTCGATGGGAAATCTGAAGCACAAAGGGACTTGCGAGTCCTATTTCAGGATTCTCTTAAGGTTAATGTGGAGGTTCAGTTGGCAGTTAGGAAGGAAATGCAATGTTAGCATTCATTTTGACAGGGTTAGAATACAGAGTAGGGACGAACTGCAGAGGTTGTATGAGGCTCTGGAAAGACTGCATTTGTAATATTGGGCCCCGTATCTAAAGAAGGATGTGCTAGTCTTAGAGGGGGTACAAAGGAGGTTTGCAAAAATGATCCTGGGAATGAAGGACTTGTCATATGAGGAGCGGTTGAGGACTCTGGGTCTGTACTTGATGGAGTTCGGAAGGATGAGGGGGGAGCTGATTGAAACTTACAGAATACTGAGAGGCCTGGATGGATGGATATGGAGAAAATGTTTCCACCAATAGGAGAGACTAGGAACCAGGGGCACAGCCTCACAGTGAAGTGATGACCCTTCAGAATTGTGATGAGGAGGAATTTCTTCAAGCAGAGGTTGGTGAATCTATGGAACTCATTGCAGCAGAAGATTGTGGAGGCCGGGACATTGGGTGTGTTTAAGACAGAGATAGATAAGTTCTTGATTAGTAAGGGGATCAAAGATTATGGGGAGAAGGCACGAGATTGAGGTTGAGAAACCTATCAGGCATGGTCAAATGGAAGAAGACTTGATTGGCCAATCGATCTAATTCTGCTTATATATCTTATGGTGTTATTGACTCCTGAGAGCAATCAGAACTACTTCAAAGAGAAGAGGGAAGGGCAGTTTTTACAGGGAACTTGGTCATGTTTCAATGCATTGCGACATATTTCCCTCCTTGTCTGTCCTCTGCTTTAAGGTTCTCCCTCTCCTAAAGTGGCATTATGTCTTAATGAGGACCATATTCCCCTCAGTCAGAAACCGTAGGCTTCCAGTCCTACAACAGAGGAAATAATACACACAGTGTAGTGCAGAGCCAGCACTGCTGGAGATGGCCTTTGTTGGATAAGATGGTAACTGGAGGCCCTGGCATGTGAAAGATGCCTCCAATTCAGAAGGAGTCCCGCTCCCCGTTTGTACGGGCCAATTTGTGCCCCGCTAGTCAAAATCCCTGAAGCAGACTGTTGGGCCACTGACTGTGTGTGGAAACTGGCCACGTGTAAATTACTTCCTTGCTTGCCAACTGGGCAACTGTGTGGTTGCCATAAGCAATCTCACAGAGCAGGCAAGTAAGCATTGGCGCTAGTGGAGTTAGTTCTGGTCTGCCCAGCATTATGTATGTGAGCTGGCATTCCCCCACTCCCCGCCTCACAGTAACACAGGTACCAGCATCAGATTTAAGATTGGGTGTGTGATAGACGCATTGACTTGGTTAATGGTCATTCCTTTTACGTTGATAACTGTGGCCACCAGGCTTTGAGATAAGACATACTCACATTGTAAAGTTCTCTTCGAGAAAGCACCTGTTTCGCAGCAGTCCTGCCCACAGTTGGACCCCGACAATGCCAAAAATAAAGAAGACAAAGAAACAGAGGAGAAGTACGTTGCCTAACATAGGCAAAGTGTCCAGCAACAGTGTCACCAGTATCCTCATACCTGCAGAACAAGAGCAAAGACATCAAATAACACCAGTCCTTAGCCTTCCTGCTGTGCGGGGCCACTGAGCTCATTAACCTGATAGTAGCTGTCAACCATTTGTCAGCTTATTAGTCCTCAGTAAGACAAATTATTCAGTGTATCGATGTATTAAGCATCTGTCAGCTTCATCAATATCTCTTAATAAAAATATATTTCCAAATGAGTTAATCTACCCACACTGTGCTGTGTTGGCTAATCAGCAAAGATACCTTCTGCAGATCATACATCAGTTATTCATTAATACCTATTATACCCCATTGAAATACATTTATCTGTCCTTTGTCAATTAGATGTTGTTTTGTCATCTTTTGATAATACACATCAATAAATATCAATTAGTACTTGTCCATCAATATTTCTTAAAAGATCAAGTTATTGATGCGTTTACCTTTATGTTACACTCTACTGTACCATCGTATTTGTCACATTTCGAAGCATATGCCCATTTTTGTTTACTATACCAGCAGTTTCTATAGATATTTAAATTGAAAGATTAAAATGAAGGTTTACAGAAACACCCTGACTAATTGAATGTGTCCTCAACCAGGAAAGAAGGACTGTGAAGAGGATAGACTCAGAACACATTTAATACCACCAGGGAATCCCCTGTGGCAGATACTACCTGCTGCCTTTTAAGTGCCTTAGATAGAGTGTGTACCTGCATTATGTGCTTCAGGTGAAAACTCCAGACTGTGCTGTGCACAAAAACACTGGGGTTTAAGGCTTCAACTACAGAGTTCAGGTTTGTACCCAGAAACCTCAGAAGGGAGACAATGGATTGTTTTGTACCTTAATGTCCATTGTTGTGAAGGCCTTGGACAGGCTGTAAGGGAGACTTGCCAGATTGACACATGAGTTGAGGGTTTTCAGTCACTTGGAGAGACTGCACAAGCTGGGATTGTTCTCATTGGAACAGAGAGGGCCAAGCGGATATTTAATAAAGGTGATCAAAACTATGAGGCTTATTAGTTGAGTAAATAAAGAGAAAATGCAACCACTGGCAAGAGATTTGGTAATTGTAGGACAAAGACTTAAGATAATTTGGAAAAGAACCATAAGGGAGTTATTGTCGTTTAGAACACATTGCTTGAAAAGATGGTAGAAGTGGATTGAATTGTAGTTTTCAATAGAAGACGTGTACCTAGGAAGGAGAGTGCAAGTGAGTAAAAGTAATAGGATAGTTCTTTCGAAGGGCTAGCACAGTCATGGTGAGCCAAATGGTCTCCTTCTGCACTTTGTGATTCTACAATTCTCTTATTCTTGACCCTCCCACTTCTGAGAGTGAAGCTTTGTGGTTATGCGGCAGCCAGGAGTTCTCAGACTTCCCATCACATTAAAATATTAAGAGAGATAGCTTGGGGATGGGAGGCAGCAGAAGTCAGAAGCCCATGGGTAAAGACTTAGCATTTGACAAAAGGGAGTATAGGAAACTGGAGCATTATTAGAATGGAAAGCAGCTCAAAAGCTGTGCCTAGTCTGCTCTGATTGATTTTCAACATTTATCTCATTAACTTCCATAGAAAACCTTATTCATTCTCACGACTCTGGCTTTTGCCAGGAGTTGCTGAGCATAAATTTTTATTCAATGTCCAAGCAGAGTGCTTTTGACGTTGGTGGTCTATACAATATCAGGCCAAAAAAAAAAATGGAAACAGATAGAAAAGTGTCACAGAATGAATGATCTATAAATATTGAACATCTGAGAAATTAGCATGAAATCATTGTTGATAGGATATCTCCATATTTCAAAGGTTAGAAAGAGCACTCAATATCCAAAGGGGCCATTTTGAGACAATGTATGAATAATAAAGTTCCAAGTGTGGAGGGACATTTTACAGTGTGACGTAGAAATCTAGAATTTGGCGCTTCACACAAATTTAGCTTCCCCACAAACACCCAGCCCCCATCAAGTAACTAAACCATAACGAAAGAGCCTTATTTCCTTCAATAGTAAGGAACTTTAGGTTTCCTGATAGGTCAAAATCCTGGAAAAGTGAGTTTGTTAACACCCTACACCATCATTAATATCAAAAATCATGCAGCATGTTTATGAGTTGTGGAGACATTTTGTATCTCACAACTCGCTTTTGCACAATCTCTCATCCTGAGTTACCCTATGATGCTGCTTGGCCTGCTGTGTTCATCCAGCCCTGCACCTTGTTGTCTCGGATTCTCCAGCATCTGCAGTTCCTACTATCAGTGATGGATTGGCCTGCTCTAAGCAGAGTTTCAAATTCCAATCTGAGAAGAATCAAGGGCATGATGATTAGCATCAGTATCCCCTAGAATGGACAGGTGAAAGGTCAGCCAGGTTGGCATGGTAGGGGTAAGGAACACGCAAGAGGAAATTAAGGAGGGTTTTTTTGCCTTATTTGCTTTGGTGCTCTGAAATACCTGTTTCTTTTGTGTTCAGTGGATTGTTTTGATGCCAGTTTAGGAGATGCAGATTGATTCTTTTTTTATTGGGATGTGGGCATTACTGGCTAATTGCCCAAAGGGCAGTTAAGAGTCAACCACTTTTCCCCTGTCTCTGACTGTACATTCCAGATTTCAAGTAGCCCCAGATCTGAAATGATGACATTTTTGCACCAAAAGAAATGGACAAAACTTTGGCTCCAAAAAGCAGACACTGATGAAGAAAGCACTTCAGCGACCATGACTGAACATATCTGAATCCAATTGGCATTTGAGTCTGTCTCTTGCTTTCAAAATTACTCATTTAATCCAATCCAAAAATACTTGGTAGGAAGAGGAGAATTAATGGCTGCTGATACAATCAGTGCTGACAACTGTTAATATTGATGAAAATGATGGATGCAATTATTAGTTGTCCTATCACATCCTCTTATGTCTCGATTCAACCAAAATTATATTTCACAGATATGAGCTATGGCCAGCTGATTTGAAAATTAATTTACCTAATTATAGCAACAATTAAACAGCCATAGGCTTGGTTTGCCTCATCTATCAGATTGTCATTAAGCTGGATAAAATGATAATTTCTGGCCCTGGAATAGCTGGTACAACAGAACTTCTACTGAATACAATAATTGTTATTAATGACAATGCCCAAAAAGGCTGGCTTTTAATCTGACACTCTGAATTACAGCTAATGCTCAGCTATTCATCTTCAAGATCTGCCTGATGGGTGATAAAACTGTTGAGTTATTGCTGTTTACTGAAATTAATTGGAGAGACCGATCATGGAGAATGGGGTAAATGGTTTAGTGCATTGGGCTGAGTCTGAGGGCCATGCTATCAGAGAAAGTAAGGGAGACAAACACGGGAAAAGTAGTTGAGCAAACAACAGCTTGCATTTATATTGTACCTTTAACAAAACAGAAGTCCAGAGGAGTGTCAACAAACAGAGTCAGACAAGCAGCCACATAAAGAGATATTAGGAGAGATGCTCAAAGAGTTGGGTCTGAAACAGTGGCTCAAATGAAGAGACAGAGCGGGAGGCAGACAGATTTAGGGAATGAATTCCAGAGTTTAGGAATGTGATAGATGAAAGCATGACTGCTGATGATTCCAAAGGAAGCAGAGAATGGCAGATCATTAGCGTTAGTCAATGGGTTCGTAACTGGGGTGGGTCAAGCAATGTGAGGGAGTGATGTGAGGGAGTGAGCATGAGGAACAAAGACTGTAAAATTTAACTGTGGTGGAAGTTTCAAATCAATTGTAATGGATCAGATTTCTGTTTTATATTCCATCTGTTTTTTAATTCACTTAAGGAGGTTAGAGTGAGGGCTGAACTGCTTCCATCCCTGTGTTTTGCTTTCATTGTCAATAGATGTGAAGCTGGAAAAGCACAGCAGGTCAGACAGCATCCAAGGAGCAGGAAAGCCGACATTTCTGACCAAAAGTCTTTGTCAGGACTGGGGGAGGGAGCCCAGAAATAAATGGCTGGGTGGGGAGCTGAGGCTCATGGAAGGGTAGGAGAGATGGTGATAGGTGGATGCGAGTAGGGGGTTATTGTGGTTGGCCAATGGGAAGGGTGGAGTGGATAGGTGAGTAGGAAGATGGACAGGTTAGGTCAGGTCAGGGAGGTGAGGAGGAGGGGGCGGCCTGGACATTGGATAAGGCTGAGGTTGGATGGATTTTGAAGTTGGTGAAGTCAATATTGAGGCCGTTGGGCTGTAAGCTCCCAAGGCGAAATATTGTTCCTCCAGTTTATGTTTGGCCTCACTCTGACAGTGAAGGAGGCCCAGGATGGACATGTCGCCAGGGGAGGGGGAGTTAAAATGGATGGCAACTGGAAGGTCAGGTTGGTTGGTGCATGCAGAGCATAGATGCTCTGTGAACCGGTCCCCGAGTCCGCGTTTGGTCTCCCTGATATACAGGAGACCACATTGGGAGCAACGGATACAATAGGTCAGGTTGGAGGAAGTGCAGGTGAATCTCTACCGGATCTGGAAGGATTGTTTGGGGCCTTGGATGGAAGTGAGAGGGAGGTGTATGGGTGGTACGTGAGGGCTAAGGGGACTCTATCCGTATTGCTGTTGGGTGGAGGTAGTTTGAGGGCAGAAGTGTGGGAAATGGAGGAGATGTGGTTAAGGGCATCCTTAATTACAGAGTGGGCGGGGAAAATTCCGGTTCCTAAGGTAGGAGGATATCTGGGATGTCCTGGAGTAAAACACCTCATTCTGGGAACACATGCAGCGGAGATGGAAGAATTGAGAAAACTTTCAATTCCCCAGTCCCCAACACTCAGCTTCGCGATGGACTTACAGTCCCTTTACACCTGTATCCCCCACACAGACGGCCTAAAAGCCCTCTGCTTCTTTCTCTTCCATAGGCCCAACTAATCCCCCTCTACTGACACTCTCATTCGCTTGGCAGAACTGGTCCTCACCCTCAACAATTTTTCCTTTGGTACCTCCTACTTCCTACAAACCAAAGGGGTGGCCATGGGCACCCACATGGGCCCCTTTGTAGGATTCTTGGAACAGTCCCTTTTCCACAACTACACCAGGACCATCTCTCACCTCTTTCTCTGCTATATTGATGACTGCATCAGTGCTGCCTCGTGCTCCCACAAGGAGCTCGAGCAGTTCATCAATTTCGCCAACACCTTCCACCACACCCTCATATTCACCTGGACTATTTCTGACACGTCCTTCCCCTTTCTGGATCTCTCCATCTCCATCTCCGTCTCCGGAAACCGACTGACCACTGACATCCATTTCAAACCCACTGACTCCCACAACTACCTCGATTACATCCCCTCTCACCCACCATCCTGCAAAAATGCTATCCCATTCTCTCAGAGATAGCAAGAACTGCCGATGCTGGAGTCAGAGATAACACAGTGTGGAGATGGAGGAACACAGCAGGCCAGGTAGCATCAGAGGAGCAGGAAAGTTGATGTTTCGGGTTGGGACCCATTTCTGAAGAAGGGTTCCGACCCGAAATGTAAACTTTCCTGCTCCTCTGATGCTGCCTGGCCTGCTGAGTTCCTCCAGCTCCACACTGTGCTATCCCATGCTCTCAATTCCTCTGCCTATGCTGCATCTGGTCCCAGGATGAGGCGTTCCACTCCAGGACATCCCAGATATGCTCCCACATTAGGGACTGTAGCTTCCCCCCGCCTCTGTAATTAAGGATGCTCTCAACTACGTCTTCCCCATTTCCCACATTCTACCCTCAAACCACGCCCTCCCAACAACAATAAGGATGGAGTCCCCCAGTCCTCCATACCACCCCACCAACCTCTGAATCCAACACATCATCCTCTGACATTTCCACCATTTACAATCAGACCCCCCCACCAAAAAGATATTTCCCTCCCCACCCCTGTCCGCTTTTCACAGGGAGCGCTCATTCTGTGACTCCCTTGTCAGCTCTACACTCCCCACCTACTTCTCCATCACACCTGTTACCTTTCCCTGCAACCGCAGGAGGTGCAACACCTGCCCCTACACCTCCCCTTTCCCTTCCGTCCAAGGCCCCAAACAACCCTCCCAGATCCGGCAGAGATTCGCCTGCACTTTCTCCAATCTGACCTATTGTATCTGTTGCTCCCAATGTGGTCTCGTGTATGTCGGGAAGGTCAAAAGCAGACTCGGGGACCAGTTCACAGAGCATCTGCCCTCTGCACACACCAACCAACCCGACCTTCTAGTTGCCATCCATTTTAATTCCCCCTCCTGCTCCCCTGGTGACATGTCCATCCTGGGCCTCCTTCACTGTCAGATTGAGGCTAAACGTCAGCTGGAGGAACAACACTTGATATTTTGCCTTGGAAAATTACAGCCCAATGGACTTAATATTGACTTCACCAGCTTCAAAATCCCTCCACCCTCCAGCCTTATCCCATGTCCAGCCCTCCCTGTCCTCCTCACCTCCCTGACATGACCCAACCTGTCCATCTTCCTACTCAACTATCTGCTCCACCCTTCCTATGGACCAATCACAATAATCCCCTACCTGTATCCACTTATCACCATCACTCCTACCCTTCCACTAGCCCCACACTCCTCTGTTTATTTCTGGGCTCCCATCTCCCTCCCCAGTCCTGATGAAGGGTTTCAGCCTGAAATGTTGATTTTCCTGCTCCTTGGATGCTGTCTGACCTGCTGTGCTTTTCTACTTCACATTTATTGACTCTGGCATCCAGCATCTGCAGTTATTACTGTCTCCAAGTCGTTTGCTTTTTATTGCTTTGAAGAAAAGAAAAATTTGCATTTCACATTTCTCCTTTCTCATTGCCAGGAAAACCTTTTGCAGCCAATGACGTCATTTCATAAGAGCAGACAAAGGCCATTCAGCGTCTCGAGCCTGCCTTGTCATTTAACGAGATCATGGTTGATCTGAATCCTTAATTCTTCTTTCCTGCCTTTTCGCCATAACTGTTGATTACCTTACTCATTAAAACTCTACCTCACCTCTCTAGTGATAGGTATTATTGTGTTAAGGTGGCACAGTGGCTCATTGGCTATCACTGCTGCCTCACAGCGCTGGGGACTTGGGTTTGATTCTAGCATTGGGTGTGACTTGTGTGGAGTTTGCATATTCTCCCTGTGTCTATGCGGATTTCTGCCAGGTGCTCCGGTTTCCTCCCCCAGTCCAAACATGTGCAGGTTAGAGTGGGCTGGCCATGCTAAATTGCCCCATAGTGTTGAGGGAAGTGCAGGCTAGGTGTGTTAGTCATAGGAAATGCAGGGATAGGGTGGGATACTCTTCAAAGGGTCGTTGGAGACCTGATGGGGCCTTTGGCTTCTTTCTGCACTGTATTGCATTGCATGATTGTATTTTTTTTTCCCTCTTGCTTATTTGGTGATTTTGGATTGCTGTTAGTGCCTTCCACCATGAAGACTCACGCAAAACATTGATTCAATTCCTCTACAATTTTCTGTTTCCCCATTATTATTTCCCCTAACTCATTTATTTACTTTAAGAAGCTCTTGCTGTCCACCTTGATATTACTTGCAGACTTACGCTTAAAGTTTATTTTCACCACCTTTCTTATTTTTTGGTCACCTTTTGTTGCTTTTTAAAACTTTCCCATTCCTCTGACTTACCACCAATCATTACTACACAGTTCTGAGAAAGCGTCACTAGACCCGAAACGTTAACTCTGTTTTTTCCTTCACAGATGCTGCCAGACCAGCTGAGCTTTTCCAGCAACTTTGTTTTTGTTCCTGATTTACAGCATCCACAGTTCTTTCGGTTTTTATTACTACACAGTATGTCTTTTTCTTTAAATTTGAAGCTATCCTTAACTTGTCTGGTTGACCGTGGTTAGCTTATCCCTTTCCTAACTGGAGTATATATTTGCTATGAGGTCAGGAATGTTTGCCATGGACCTGGAGTCACATATAGGCCAGATTAGGTAAGAATCCTAAGGGACATCAGTGAACCTGATGGATATTTAAACAATAATTCAGGGTAATGCCATGGTCAATGTTATTCAGACTAGTTTTTTTTTTAAATTTCAGATTTATTAACAAAGTTCACATTCCAATAATTAGCATGGTGGGATTTGAACTCTTGTCTCAAGGGTATTAACCTAGGTCCCTGGGATGACTCATCCAGAGACAATACCACTACGCCACCACCTTCCTCCAGCCTGAGCTTTAGACCCAGATTATCTATTATTTCTTCCACTGTGAAGATAAACACAAAATGTTTGTTTAATTCCTCTCAAAATGCCACATCCAGCTCTTTCTTGCAGTCCCATCAGTTAGCCACAACATTAACTGGACTGGATGAAAACTGTTTCGGTATTGTTAAGGGATAACCATACTTACTGGGAACTCTGTTAATGGCTCGAAGCGGTCGCAGTACCCTCACAGTACGCACAGCGGATAGACTGACATTCTGTAGGTCCAGTGAATACTCTAACATGCTGGAAAACAAACAGAAGGATAACCATTATGGGCCATTCACAATAATAGACAAGGTAATGGGTGTGAGCCATCATTCATTTCTCACACCACGCCTTTCCCAACATTTCTGTAACATCAGCATGTTTCACGTTCATGTTGTCTGCTTTACTGTACAGGAAAGTGAGAAACAAAAGAAAACTGTTCAAATTCAGTAAATCAGAACCACGGCCAACATATTTGCAACACATGCATTTGCACCTGAAATAGGGACAAGGTTAATGTTCCAAATGCGAACTTTCATGGGAACTAGCAGACCGATGCTTAAGAGGCCTCCTCTATGGTTGGAGTTGCCAGCTCTGGTTAGAGAGTTTTCAACATTGACCACTAATCACAACCTATTTCTCCACCCCCCATTTCCTGGCACACTCCACAGAGAAAAGCGAATGGAATCTTTGTCTTTTAATTAAACTGAACTGCTAGTCAAACAGGTTTTGTTTGCTCATTCCAATATTTTTATGACTGAGGAATGTTCAAAGACATTGTAGACTCCCCTAGGATGATTCTCTTGCTGTTGTTCACTGTGCTGCCCAGATCAGTTCTGGAGAATTGGCAACTCTATTGAAGAAAGAAGTGGCACCACCATAGATACAGGCTCAGGGCACTTTCTCAAAGGGTTCATCACTCAGGAAGTGATTTTAAGCTGGAATTGACATGTTTGTATCACTTGCTACATGAAAGAACAGCACACAGCATTTTATCAATGGCCACCAGGGAGGAAGTTTCATTCATATGGCATCGTCTACAAGCTCAGCTGGTCCTAAAGTGTTTCACAGCCAATGAAGTACAGCCACTGCTGTAATGTAAGAGTCAGAACAACCAATTTGCACAAAGCAAGCTCCCACAAACAGCACTGCGTAAATGAGACCATAATTGTCATTCCTGATGTTGAGAGAGGAATAAATATTGTCCAAGACATTGGAGGGAGCTCCTTTGCCCTCCTTGAATCTCATGGGGTCTTTTCACATGACAGAAAAGACAGGGCCTTGGTTTAATCGCTTTTTTAAAAGACAGCACCTCAGACAGTGCAGCAGTACCTCATGGGGCTGGGTGTTAATGTTAGAGAACTGCTGAGAGGCCTGTGTTACTTTAATGGGGGAAGGGGTGGGTGTGAAAGAATGTAATCCCTTACTGGCCAGCATTGGGTCTTCTACAGAACGCAGACCCTGCTGGTTCAGAAATCCCACCCTCTGGGAGCTGCCAGCCAATCAGAAGCTGCTGGCTCTCCAATGGTGGAACAGGCATAAGGAGTGGTAGTTGGTGTAGGTAAATGCTCCAAAACCCAGCCTGAGGATTAATACTGGATCCCTGGTCACAAGGGAGTGGGGTGGGATGGGGGTCATTGTAAATGGTTCTCCAGGGACTAGGGGCAGAGGGCTCAGAGGCAAGAGTGAGGTGGAGGAAGTGGGGTAAGACATCTACATCCCATGATTGGATGCTTGTCAATGAGACCCTTCTATCGAGTTGGTAGTTTCTGGGGGCCTGGGATCACCATGTGGCTCCCATTTAATCTCAGAGTCACCACTAAATTCTGGTGTGACTCTGTATTAATTACTTTCACTGATGACCGTGATTGACATTGTGCTGCAGTGGGCTGGTTCCGGGGTCAGGTCCTTTCTGACCCCAACTTAATTAAGGGCAGTTTTCCTGACACTAGGAATCCAATACAGGAACTGCCGAGCAATTCTCCAGATGGAGTCTAGATTAATTGACTTGAATAGGATACATCTGTTTTGCAAATATTGCACTGCAGGATTTGATTTGATTTATTATTGTCACATGTACTGAGATACAGTGAAAAGTATTGTTTTGCGTGCTAACCAGACAAATCAAAGCTTACATAAGTACATCAGGGTAAAAGAATAGAATGCAGAATATAGTGTTACATCTATAGAGAAGGTGCAGAGAAAGATCAGGTATAATATATGAGAGGTCTGTTCAAAAGTCTGATAACAGCAGGAAGAAGTTGTTCTTGAATCTGTTGGTATGCCTCATTGAGGACATTGGTACAGACAGATTGTGAGGTTTCAACCAAACATTTCTCCCTATTTTTACCAACAGCTCATAAACAGATTGAGATTTTAGTTTTCTAAACAGTGAGGGTATATTTCCCCCACTCCTTCTGTTGGTGGATTCTGATTTTGTAAGGATTATCACAAGACTATCATCAAGTTAAACCAGAAGTAGGATTTATTTCAAAAACTCTTAGATGGCAGGGAATACTTTGCAAGACAGGAATGCTTACAAAACATACATTGGGAGATAGAATTAGAAACAGTAAAGAAGCTATTCTATTGGTAACTAGTACAAAACAACCAAAGGTGACTGAAATAACTCCACAAAGGCCAGTATCCTGTCACCAAGTCACGCTTCATTTACACATTCATAGTATATGACACTGATCCAGCTAGTTTAGAGCTTGCTCTTAGAGTAAACAGAACCCCTCACACTCCTGTTTATACCTGTCAGCCAGGACTCGCTGATTAGACCAGGTTAGCAGCCCCAATCAGGGACCTCATATTCTATGAAGTCCAACACAATAGATACCAGTTTAACAATGCCCTTGCTTTAAAGGTAGAGTTGATAAGCCCCAGACTGGAGCTGGCAGGCTAGAAATCCTTTGTGAGGATGGTTGATGGGCTAGCCAACAACTGAAAACTTACAGTTCCTTTTCCAAAAGTCTTTTGAGGAAGTTTTGATGTAATATATCTTCTGCTTCACTGTTTTGATGGAAGAAAGTTGATTATTTCCAGATAGTACAAAAACACATGGTTGGTCCTGTTTTACAGGCCAGAATATTTTCTTTGAAGGCCACAGTTAGATTGATGTGGACAATAAATGTTGTATGGCTCCTAAACTGTCTGCTATTTCAAAACTGTATGGGTAAAATGATGACAAACGTAGAGAATGCTGGAGAAACTCAGCAGGTCTTGCAGCATCTGAGAAGAGAGAAACAGAGTTAATAGAGTTATCGTCATACAGCATGTAAACTGACCCTGTGGTCCTACTCATCCATGCCGACTGAGTTTCCCAAACTAAACTAGTCCCATTTGCCTGTACTTGGTCCATATCCCTCTAAACCTTTCCGATTCACTTACCTGTTCAAATATCTTTTAAATGTTGCAACTGTATCTGCATTTACCGCTGCCCTTGGCAGTTCATTCCACACATGAACCACTTTCTGTGTGAAAAAGCTGCCCCTCAGGTCCCTTTTAACTCTTTCTCCTGTCATGTTAAAAATATGCCTTCTCATTTTGAACTCCCTACCCTAGGGAAAAGACCTTTGCTATTCACCTTATCTATGCCCCTCATGATTCTATAACCTTCTATAAGGTCACCCCTCAACCCCCTACACTCCAGTGAAAAAAGTAGCAGCCTAACTAGCCTCTCCTTATAACTCAAACCCTCCAGTCCTGGTAATATCCTTGTAAATCTTTTCTACACCTTTTCCAATTTAATAATATCCTTCCTATAAAAGACCAGAGCTGTACACAGCACTCCAAAAGTGGCCTCACCAACATCCTGGACAAGCGCAACATGGTGTCCCAACTCCTATATTTAATGGCTGAGCAATGAAGGCAAGGGTGCTAAATGCCTTCTTCACCATTCTGTCTACATGTAACACCACTTTCAAAGGAATATGTACCTGAACTTCTAGATCTCTCTGTTTGATAACAATCCCCAGGGCCCTAGCATTAACTGCATAAGTCCTGCCCCGTGTTCGTCTTCCCAAAATGCAACACCTCGCATTTATCCAAATTAAACTCAGTCTGGTCTTCTTCAGAACCGAGTTCAATCTTTACAGCTTTCGCAGTATTTTGCCTTTATTCGTGTGTTAAAAAATGTAGTTAGATTCAGTGTGATGGGAATCATGTGACCGAGCCTGCTCAGTGAATGAAGCAGTTACCATCAAAATGAAGGCTTTGCAGATAGCCAACTGTCTTTGGCCTATTCGAGAGGTTTGCTGGAAAGTGAGGGACATATTCCACTGCACAGGGTCTTTTCTTGGAGAAAATCATCTCTGCAGCAGATTATAACGTAAATAAGTATTGCAGACCCATTCAAAGTTACTTGGAGTGATGCTTGTCTGGCTGCCATTGACTTCTAAGAAGTTTCTGGAAGGTTATTGTTAAGGCCAGGTTCTTCAATGTGTTTTTAAAGTAGACACTAAATTATATATGTGAACGTGTATCAAAGTTGTGTTTCGTTATTCCATTTGTTACAACATGCTGGAGAACAATGGAAAATGTTCCGTGCTGGTTGCAATTTGACCTCTGCAAGCCCATTAGAATGATACAGGTGAGGCAGTGCTCTGAGACCTCACTGTGTCGCTTTCAGACCCAACACAGGATGTGAACTGGGCCCTTGGTGTATTTGATTCTTTTCCAAAAACACAAACTCAGGAATGTGTCATGACCTTTCACCCAACAGCTGCAACAAAAACCGTAGTGTCAAAGGTTTTGCATTTCCACGTTGGGTCACCTGTTGTAAACATGATCAGAGGCTTCCTGTTGTTCTAATGGTGGTGGACCAACACAGTCCTGCTCCTCAGTGGTTGTGGACACTGTAACTCTGGAGGGTTCACCTCATGCACACAGCTATTTGGCAGTTTCTACCTGTGGTAAGGTAATAATTTATTTAAGCCTTTGCCCAGGCATTCAATGTACATCATTAATACACTTGTGGCCAATCCTAATGAGCAGAAGCTCTCAACTGCTTGTGATGTGTTTTCAACCACAGAATATTGTGTTTCCATGGTGACTGTCGGCACTTAGCCCTGGTTTGAAAGACAAAAATATATGTTTTTGTCACTTTTATTCTGTTGCCAGGTATCATTATTCCATTGGAAATGCTTGTTATTTCCACCGCAAATGCCAATTATTAATTGTTTACTACGCAAATGCAGCTTTCCACATCGAAAATGCATAATTACTGCAAATATAAATTGATGAGTCCCTGAAGT